ACACACACACACACCAACCACACAGTTCAGCCACCCACTTAGCCGGCTGCCACTGTGGTGTAATGTGAAAGTGTTTGGCAGATGTTGAACAGAGGCTTAGGTGAGGACACACTGACTGACTGTCTAAAGATTCCACCAAAACTGCTCTTCATGTCAGACAGAGGTTACATCATTCTCCACAGTTGCATTGATGTTTGTGGAAGCCTGATCTGTTCACCTGTGAATTCTGTATTCACATCAGCATATACATAGTAACCAACAAACATTTTCTGAAGCTGTTTTAGTTATGTGTCTCTGTCTGTCAATGCTCAAAGATTGCTCATGGCTTTTGTTTACCTGGATGGCAAACAAAAGCTTTATTTAGTACACTTGTTACTTCAGATGTATTTATTTAACAGTCTTATAAAAAAAGCCCTTTCAGTCTGATTTTTCTTCAAGCATTCTTAGCCACCACATTCCTTATTCCTTTCACTGCAAGAGTTAGCAGTTTCTGTTAGAAAGAAATTATATGGGAACACAACCTGTCACTCCTCAAAGGAAAAGTTTGACATTTTGGTTTTCTTTTTTTGTCTCATTTTCTTAATCCGTATAATGGCGTTTAGTTGTTTTTACCATGGGCCAAAGGCAAACAGCTGTTGTATCATTGATGCAAAATGTTAGGATCCCAAGTTCCCTTAATATACCTTTTTCACAGTAGCGATATTGACATGAAATAGTAGGGTAAAACAGGTGTGATACTAGTTAAGGTTCTGTTGGATTTAGTGTACATACATTAGCAGCAAACAATATATAATGTGTTCATTAGAGAGCTGTAGAGGTGCTGGTAGGTTTTATTACTTTTGGACAGAGCCAGACTACCTTCTGCTGTTTTCAGTCTTTGTGCTAAGCTAAGTTAACAGGCTGCTTGAAGTAGCTTTTCAGACATGAGAGTGGTAACTCTTGGCATATTTCAAAAATATCAAACTTTTTCTTTTAATGGGATTAGGCGATTACACCTCTGCTTTCAGTCTTCATGCTAAGCTAAGCTAAACTAAGCTAACTATCCCCTGGCTCCAGCTCCATGCATGATGCAAAATATCACAAAGTAGGCAAACAAAATGTGAAACTAGTTTTTGCTTCAGTTTTAGTTTTAGCTAACATCAGGGGGGTGATGGTAGTACCTGTGATTTCACAGTAAACAGAGAAAATGTTTTTCAGCAGGTGTTCTTCGCTAGTTGAATATTCATTTTTTCTCACCTGTGTGTGTGTGTGTGTGTGTGTGTGTGTGTTTGGCCCCTCCAGGCAGTCTACATGTTCTATGCACTGGCCTTGGTGTGTGACGACTACTTTGTGCCCTCACTAGAGAAGCTATGTGAGGTAAGAAAACACTGCAGGTTATTACTGCACTTCTACTGAGCTTACATCACCACACAAGAACTCTCTAAGTAATGCTTTGTGATTCAGTTCTTTTAAGTATACTGTTTTCTTTTGTTTTTTCTCTCAACCAGCGTCTTCAACTGAGTGAAGATGTTGCAGGAGCGACCTTCATGGCAGCAGGCAGTTCAGCTCCTGAACTGTTCACTTCTGTCATTGGTGAGAAACATACACGTGCAGTCACACTAACACCCACACACACACACACCTACATGTGCACACATATACAGTATTTATACATCTTTTAAAGAAATGTTTATAGATGCACCAATCCACTTTTTTTTTTTTTTTCCAATATGATTCTGGTACCTGACTGGATATTTGCTGATACCTTTTGCAGAGGTTTTAATACATTTGTAGTATTGTGCAAATGCAGCACAACTTCCCCCCCCCTCACAGTGTTGGCTTTACACACATTACAAGTTGCTGTTCCTTGCTCCAAGACTAAAATATATCCAAACTGAGCACGTGTTGATTTAGCCAACTGTTCACTCAGTTGCAGTCTCATGTTACGTCACGGCAGGTTCATGGTCTGGCGCAAGCTCTGCCTCTAACATCTAACTCATAGAAATCTGGGAGACAAAGAAATATGGCGACTATTATTACATATTTATAATTAATAAAACCACCAGACTGTGGTCTTTGGATTGGTGAAGTCAGTCTGATCTCTGATGAGTAAATTACATCACTCTTGGCACAGATATTTAATCGACCACAAAACAAGTTAAAAAAAATTTCTGTGGTAAAACTGAACTAATATGATTTTATCTTGCCATATTTAACTTAAGCTAAGTCAATAAAAATAAGACAATGCACAGATCTACAATTTCTTTATGTAGAAATCAAACATTAAGTCATACATGGCAATACATAAGTGAAAACTAAACCCTTTAGATAATTCAACTGAAGGACAGCCATAGGGTTTTGTTTTTTTGTACAAACAATCCATCAAAAGTGTTTCTGAAATAAAATGTCTCTGTCTTATATTAGACCCCCATTTAAAATTGAAAAACATATAAGAAGGGATAGCAAGGTTGATGTACAATGTCACACTGGAACTGGTTTTGTGCATTTCATTTTTGTGCACCAATACTGTAATAACAACCACTGGTTATTCTTCTAAATGTATATCAGTTCCAAATATCAGTCATCAGTTTTGTTGATTACTACTAATCGGTATCTGTATCGGCCCTGAAAAAGACGTATCTGTCGATCCCTAGTCAGCATCACCAAAAACACAAAACCAAACTGGATGTGAAGGAATAGTTTGGTAACCAGGGTTTGTGTTTCTGCTGTACAGGAGTTTTCATCACTAAAGGTGACGTCGGGGTCGGGACCATCGTGGGCTCAGCGGTCTTCAACATCCTCTGCATTATTGGAGTATGTGGGATATTCGCAGTACAGGTAAAGTACAAAACACACACACACACACCTATCAATGATGTTTATCTGTCTCTCTATCTTTAACGATTTTTCCATCCAACATTCACACAAACCTTTAGCAAGCATGTTAAACACTGCATCAGTAAGGGTGTATTCACACATGTTGTGAACTTTCTGCCTCATGGCTGTAGTTGAATTATCTGCTTGTTTCAGCTTGAGCTAGATTTTATTTTCAATCAATGAAAGTGACGTTGGGTGACTGCACTTGCTTTTAGTACAGAGGACCAGTCCCACGCAAGAACTTACGAGACAGATAGTCGCACAACCAATAATTAATTTTCATAATCCACTATATATTTTGCAGTTCGATTATATAATTGAATTCAGAATATTTGTTGACAACCCTAGTTCACATATGCCCAAACAAACCGCACCAAGAGGGTAAAGGCTCCCGGTTTCAAAATAACTGCTTCAAACGAGATGTGTGAATACATCCTAAGTATGCATCCATGAGAACAAGGAATGCAAAAGCACCAGCTAAACCGGGATGGCCTCCTTTTACATGTGCTCATATTAATATACAAGCATAGGCAGTGGTTGGGACATGTGCTGAGCTGTTTGTACCAAGTCTCTGGCACTATTTATTCGTTAAAAAAAACTCTGCCTTAAGCAAATCTGACTTTTTTTTTATATACATCACAGTTCACATTAAAAACCTTACATGGAAACTCCTCTCTCTCTCTCTCTCTCGTCATAACTGCGTTTATTTTGCAGCAGAAGTGTGTGAGTCAGAAAACGATATCTGTCCTGTTCACTGCTGTAATCCCACGAGGAAAAGAA